ACTAGCTAGGATTCAAATAATGCCTCAGTGGGATTAAAAATATAACCTTTTGGATTCTGAGGAAGACTGGAAAATGATTACAATATTTGGATGACAATATTCAATATGTGGCCCTACAACATTTGGGTCTCAATGTGGCCAGAATACACAACCATTACATCAGAACTAAAGATCATCTTCCAGGAGACAAGTATCTGAATACTGTATGATGAATTTGCTTACCACTAGTTTCTAAAATTAACTTTTAGCTATAATTATCATATTTTGCTTCCATATGCTTTGATTAAACTAGGTTTTTGTCTAAAGGATTCCAAATCCAAAGACATCATTCAGATAAACACAAAAACAATACTAGATTCATTTTAGATTCCTTATACTGGGATCCACCAGACTCAGTCTAGAGAAAAGTTTCTATGATCCATATCAACCTCTTATCTAGCTATACCCAATGGATCATAAATGGCTCTGCAGCTGGTCTCTGTCTCCTAAATACAAAAGCTAAAATAAGTAAAACAGGCCATCCTCCAAACTCAGAAGCCATGAGATAGGAGGTACTAAGCACAGAAGGTACTTATGCAATTAAAAACATTCAGTGCTTACATTCTAGAACTTTTGCTAATGTCTAAGTAGCTGTTAAAGCTATTAGATGACAACCCAGTGATATGTCAGATTGTAAAATTCCCTGAACTTTGTCCTTATAGAAAAGCATTACTAGCTCTTTTGATGAAAATCCTTGTTCAATGTACTCATAATTACCCTAAGAATCATATTATTTAGACAATGCATGCATAATTCTTTCTTTTTTGTCTTCTCAAGACTTAAAGCTGTATATTTATTCAAGATAAAAATATCTGTTATATATAGAACTCATTAGATACAACCTATAAGAGTATCTCTGACTTCGGATCAACTATGAACACCTTCAGCCTGTAGAAGCCAGATTGATCATTGCCCATTACTCCCTAATGGCAGTTTGGGTTACTTCTTCAGAGGAGGGATTGTTATAGACAGCTCGGTTAGATAGAAATATTATAGACCATCAGACAGGCCTAGACCCTCAAAGAATCCAGTGCAGAAGCCCAGATAACTTGTACCTAAGGTAGAGACAGACGCCTCCCAATGTGGGCTAAGTATCAAGACAAAAGATCAAACACATACACCCACATCCTAAGGACTGATATTGTATATAGGTCTCTGCCACTCTCTAATTCCAGGAGACACCATCCCAACCCCCTCTAATAAGAGTCAATGCTCTAATGTTCCTGCCTGCTTGCTATATAACTCCCTTCCCCATTTGTCCCTAAATTAATCGATTTTACCTGATAGTTAATCTTATTGGTGATCACAGTTCTGTCCCACTTCACGCCCACCCTGTGTGTTCCCATGTTTTCCCCACCTTGGCCCTGTCTCACTTTGTTGTTTTGCTATATAAAAGTCCCTAGAAAAGACAGAGTCTTTGGCAACCCACTCAGAACCACTTGTGTCTCTCAGAAAGTAGCTTTCTTTCTCTCTATAAATATATTCTGCTCTTAATGTACACTGTTCCTAAAATTCATTCATCAATTTTAGAGAACATGAACTCTTACTGGATATCTATTAGGTTGGGAATTTTTTTCATATATCAAGATGATGTGGGTAAAATAGTTAAAAGAACACGGATTCTCATGACCCAACGAATTGAGAGAGCCTGGGACTCAAGTTCAAGGAGCTGTCCCAGCCCAGCAGTGACACAGCAACACAGCAGAATGTCTGCCTTTTGGGGTCACAGGATCAATTTCCCATAGGATTAATCTGTCTCAAAAGTAGCACTCATGGCAGTGGAGATGACATTGGACTCTTCTGCCTCCCTGCTGAAGCAGTCACATACAGAGTGACTCCTTCATCCAATATGTGCTCCTCTTCACACTGAAGGTCATAATGTGTAGTCCCCATGTTCAGTGTCTCCTGGTGAGGATGGATGGAGCTGTGCTCAGCTCTCCATCATGACTCACTCAGGAATCCTCACCCCACTTTCCTGACTCAGAGATGAATTAATAAGGATGTCATATCACACAACAATTCTTTAAGGAGATTTAATGAAAGACATTGGTGGATTACATCACTCTGTGCTGATGTCAGATAACCCCTGAAGCATTTACTGTTGCACTCAGTAGCAAGGAATTGTGAGGGCTCTTGCTGCATCTTACTGGAAAACCTTTCAGTGCACCAAGAGTAAACAAGAGCTGGATCCCTCTCATTGGATGATAGCCCTCTAAAGAACAGTGTGATCCTCATGACAGCTGAAAGCCTTTCACCTGAAGGCTCTGTGCTCTGCTCTGAGATTCATGCACAGCATTGTTCTCCACTGTGCAGGGAGTGGACAGTTCCAGTGTCTTCAAACCATTCACTTTGCTTCAGCACAAATGTGTCAGTAAAAACTATTTAGCATTTCAGAGGCTAGAAATTACACTTACATACATGTAAACATTAATGAATGGGAAGAAGATTCTCAGAAACCCACGAATATACATATTTTGAATGCATTACACACACACAAAGAGAAATACAATCAAATGAGTTTATAAGAGTCTACAAAACTTATGATAAAATTTAGACAATATTTGCCCACTTCAGTGAGCAACCAACAATGTGTTAGCCATTTCAAAATCTTGGTTTCCACCATTTACTAAATGAGCAAATAAAGAATGGAGAACACAAATTGATTTGAGCAATAATCCTGAAATGGTTGTGAATAGATGCACACAGAATGTGAACTAATGCTGTGTGTTATACATATGTGCTGCATACACCTCACAGTCCTGTAATCTTTGGCACCTGTGTGCTGGTTTTCATATTCTTAGAGTTTTCTTTCATCTGCACACAGCTAGCTCCCTGACCAGCTCTTCCACTCCATGTCCTGTCCAGGAGTAGGAGGTTTGCGTCTTGAGCAATGGACTTCAAGAACATCACTAAGTTCTTAGAGGGCTCAGTCAGCATCCTCCACCCAGAGGCAAGCACAAAAATTGGTCGATCCTCTGTTTCCTTCTAGTCTTCACTTGCAAGACTGCTTTGCAGATGCAAATGTTTTTGAGCTACCAGATAAGTTCATATTACACATTGCATTAATGTGTTTTGTTTCTCAATATTTAAGATGTTTTCAGAGATTTGTAAAGTTAGTCTTCAAGACCATAGTATATTGCTGGTTTCTCCTCTTTCTGGTGATGTCTCCCATATGTGAGTCTAGGAAAATTCAGACAGAAGGATGTGGAGATTCTGCCTCTGATCTCAGGACTTGCCCTGTTTTCTCACTGTCCCATCTCAGCTACTGAAGCAAGAGACCGTACTAGAGCCCACGAAGCCCTCTCAGTCGCTTTCTCTCAGCCTCACATGCTCTGGTTAGTGCAGCTCTGGGACACTGCCTCTAGAGCTGGTTCCTCCAGCTGCCAGGCAGCAATCTGAATGGATGTAGCAGGACAGTAACAATGGAGGGACAATTGGTCAATAATCCCTGACAAGTCAGCATTTCTTTTTTTTTTTCATCTTTTTCATTTTTATCGGTACCAGGGATTGAACTCATGACTGCCTCCTTGCAAGGCAGGCGCTTATGCTGCTGAGCTAAATCCCCAGCCCCCAAGTCAGCATTTCTAAAACCAAGAAAAAGTTATCTGAGTAACTGTCCTCAATATCCGTGGAAAACTCAACCATAATGGCACTGTGCAATACATTTTCTGAGGATATATAAGTGTGAGCCCAGGTACAAAGCTATGTACCGGGTGGTGCAGACCAGGATGGGGCGCTCAGGATCAGCAGCAGGTGCACAGGACCAAAAAAAGGGATCTGGTGAGGACCCATGGGGAAAGCTCTGAACCAGCACAGTGTCCTTGGGATCCTCAGGGAATCAGGAGAGACTCCATAGGTGGTTCAGAGAAGGAAAGTCCACACTAAGCCTTTCACGGTGTTTAGTGTCTGAGTTTCTCCACTGTCTTAGCCTCACAAACACTGTGGAGAGCATACAGTGTGCCCTCTCCAGATCACAGGTGAGGTCTCCAAAGTGGAGAGAATGGAAGGCATTTTTGATATTGACAGAATATATTTACACATGCATTTTATCATCTCCTTTACGTGGGCTCTTATGGGAGGACTGCAAAGACCTGAATTTTCTAGAAAAAATACTGTGAATCTTGGAACATAGATGCTTTGGAATACACAGATCTCATGATCACGATGCAAAGGTAGCCTGCTATTTTTGTCAACATGAAAAGGAACTGTCACATATAGTACTATACATTTCATTTTACAAAAGAATAGAATGCAAGTGTTTACAGAAAGAGAGTTTTATGGAGAATGACTCGAGAATTTATGAGTAGATACGTTAGGTATCTTGAGAATGGGCATGGTTTTGTGGATATTTAACTATTTGTATGATTCTGTCAAAAATATATCACTTATCATTAAAATAAGCATGTAATGTTTATTTTTGGCATAATCTATATAATTAGTGTATTTTTAATGATATACTACCTCTACAGAGGTAATAAAAGCTGTCATATCCTTGAACATATTTTTTAAAAAGATGCTGGTTGTTGATTCATTTATGAATATAACAGAACACACAATAATACCGTCATATTCCCTCATTAGAAGAAGATATGTGACAATCATCGTGCAGCTTGACCAGTCTGTCTTGGAATTCCTCAACAAGTTGTTGAGTTCTGTGAGAAGACTGTAGGACCTCACAGACAGTATGATTTTATAGCCTATGTTGGGACATACCACAGGACATTATGCTTCTCGTTCTATGTACACATCTGCACTCCTGTGAAGTTACCCAATCTTCTAATGACATAAAAAAGCAGATGTAGTTACACCTAGGAAGGAACCATGTGGTCAGTATACTATGGATATTACAAAACAAATCTCAAAACACTCTCATGTGCTTTGAACTCTTCCTTCTCTGAGACTTCAAGAATAGAACTGGCCATATATACAAGATCACACACAAATATGGCCTTCCTGTGACAATGAAAACCAGCCCAGCCCTCACCCTTACAGCTCTGCAGAGGATGCTAACCCTTGCACCCAGATGTTCCCACTTTGTGATCGGCACTGAGCACAGGTTCACTGTGGAGTGGGTGCTGAGCTGGATTTTGCTTCTTGCTACTTTAAAAGGTAATTTATGAAAAATAATAAATACAAAATGAGTGTGTGAGTGGCACTAGTGGGATAAACAATGGGCATGTGTGACAGCTTCTTGAGCAGAATGCCTCTGTTTTTGCAGGTGTCCTGTGTGAGGAGCAACTGGTGGAATCCAGGAGAGGCTTGGTGCAGCCTGTAGGGTTCCTGAGACTCTCCTGTGTGGCCTCAGGATTCACCTTCAGTAGCTATGGGATGAGCTTGATCTGCCAGGCCCCAAAGAAGGGCCTGGAGTGCATCTCATGGATTAGGTATGATGGTGGTAGCACAAACTACGCAGAGTCCATGAAGGGCCAACTCACCATCTCCAGGGACAATGGTAAGAACACGCTGTATCTGCAGATGAGCAGCCTGAGAGCTGAGGACATGGCTGTGTATTAGTGTGCAAGAGACACAATGAGGGAACATCAATGTGAGCCCAGAAAAAAAACCTCCATGCAGGGGTGCTTAGGACTAGAAGGAGGCACACATGACATGGGGAACACAGAGTGTGTCCCAAGAGTACAGGAATTAAAGCTTTTTGTTTCAGCCAGGCTTCATGGCATTTAAAAAAGTAATTATACAAGTAATAGAAAGATCAGAAAACAAAGATTTAAAATCTCAACTATGTAAAATGCCACATAAAAACACAAATAATTCATTGTCTACTTAAAAATACCCCAAAAGCAATTAATACTATAAAATACTGTAATACAATTAGGAAATCTGTTATTGAGAGTGTGAATTATGCGTTTTCTATCCTTTACATAGTGAAGAAAAAAACTTTTAAGTGTTTCATATCATACATAAACAATTTAGAAAAATACAGTTTAAACTTGTAAAAATGGCTTTTAATATATGACTGTATATATATATATATATATATATATATATGTATGCATGTATATATATATGTATGTACGTATGTATATAGGTATATATGTGCATGCATATATATGTATATGTATATGTATATGTATATGTATATGTATATGTATATGTATATGTATATGTGTATATACCATAGGGCATAGGTTGGGTATGGTATACACATAGCAAGAATCTACTAAGGTATTACCATACTACCAACACTGCCGGCTGGAAAGTGAGGGCCCAGCCGAGCAGAGGGAACTCCGGTCTGGCCCTGCCTGCTGACTCTTCTGCCTGGGGACCACACTACCACTGTTGCCAGCCACAAGGTGAGGGCCCAGCCAAGCGGAGGGGACTCCAGTCCAGCCCTGCTTGCTGCGTCTCCCACTCATGGACCACACTACCACTGCTGCCAGCCAGAAGGTTAGGGCCCAGCCCAGCGGAGGGGACTCAGGTCCACCCAATGCCTCGTCTGGCCAAGGAGCACACCACAGGTGCTGGCCAGAAGGAGGGAGCTGGGCTGAGCTGCTGAAACCTGCTCTGACCTCGCCTGCCACCTTCTTTTGATCTGGAGAGCACCAGCACTACTGCCACTGCCTGGAGGATAGAGCAGTCCTGCTGAGGAGGTTTGAGGCCTACTTAGGCCATAAGGGAATCTTCTATAAGCCTGGGGAGTTTTGCCATCCAAGGAGCTGGACTGTTACAAAACATCCAATCCCTGGGAGATTATGAGATCCTTGCTCTAGGGGTTTGGGGGCCCACTGTGCTCGCAGCCACACTATACTGGGCTTAACAGGATTTGGGATTTCCTGGACCACACCAGGTGGCCTTCTATCCCTCAGGGGAGCTTTGCTACCAGAATGGGAAACTGTGCAAATTGAGGAGGCTTTAGGTTTACCTGAGAGTAGACTGGCAAGCCTCTTTTAATCCAGGAGCTCCCCTGCCCAAAGAGGCAGCTATGACCAGAAGAGTCCCAAGAACCTAGGACGTAAGAGTCAATTTACAACACGACCAGGGGAAACTCTGTAACAACACTTGAAACACAGTAATATAGGACAATCACAAAACAAATGACCAAAATGCAAACTCAAACATCCAACCCATCCCAAGAAAGCCTAGTAGTCATGTACATAAAAGAAAATACATACCAAATACCTGAAATACCTGAAACAGTAGTATCGGAAATAAAGAAACAGCTCCGGGAAGCTTTAAAGGAATTCAAACTAGAAATAATCTGTCAGATAAAAAAAGCAATAATAAAACAAATGAAGGAGATGCTGAACATATCTAAAGAAGACACAGCTAAAAAGATTGGAGGAACTAAACAAAAAGAATCTCTGGACGAACAATAGTAGAAACAAACAGAATATATAAAACAGATGCAAAGACATATAAAGTAAATCAAAAACTCCATTGAAAGTTGTAGAAACTGCCTGAATGAATGCGAAGATAGAATTTCAGACCTCAAAAACAAGATTGCAGCCAGTGAACAGGAAAGGAAAGATCTTTTAAAAATAACAAGAAATCAAGAAATAACAATTCAACACCTGCAGGATGATGCAAATAAAAAAAACATAAGGTTTATAGGGATAAATGAAAAAGAAGGAGACAATACAAAGGATGTCAAGAGGATATAAAGAGAAGTAATTGCTGAAAACTTCTCAAACATGAAATTGGAAACTGATATCAGGATCAATGAGGCATATAGAACTCCAAATAGCCATAAACAAAATGAAACTCCACCAAGACATATAATAATCCCATTCCAGATATCAAATAAAAGAATAGAATATTAAAAGCTGTCAGAGAGAAAAGACAGATCACCTATAAAGGAAAACCTATCAGAATCACAGCAGACTTCTCTTTTTTTTAAATTTTATTTAAAAGGAAAAAGAGAAAACACAAAACAAAACAAAGCGGTTGAAGGGTACAAGTAATACAGATCTAAAAAAAAAAAAAAAAAAAAAAAAAAAAAAAAAAAAAACAGTAAGAAATTGCCAGGTAATCGGTTACATATTATCATCTTAGAGATAGTTGCTCAAATCACAGTATCAAAGCATACAAAGTGGACATTCAAACAGTGAGACTGCAAACAGTTGTGTTCAATGATCCAACCAAAAACATTAATATGGTCAGCTATTTAACACCCCTAAACACACTTGCTGTTGTATCCTTTAGAGTTCTTTTTTTCCCTCTCTTTTTTACAACAAAATTTACACATTTTGTGTTTTATTACACCTTAGTTCTTATTACTTTTTTTTTGAGGGGGAGAGAATAAAGTCAAATATGGCAAAACAAAGCTGTCAGTCAAAACCAAGGATAGACATAGCACATGATGTAAAACAGAGTACAAGGTTACCAACAATGGTTATCAACAATGTCTCTTGTTTCCTTAAAAAGAATTGTCTATCTCATTACATATTATAAAGTTGAACAAAACAGTAGAGAACAAGACCAATAAAACTTAAGCATTGTAAACATTGCAGGACTTCCAAAGGAGACAATAGTCAAAACAGAATGGGCATCTTAGTGAATCTTATTGCCTTCAAAGTAGTTGCCTATACCCTCAAACTTGATATGATCATGCAGACTGGAACAGAGTCTAATCAGTCAAAACAAGATAGTGGGAGTATTACAGGACTTCAAAACAAGTTAATAGGAAATCAAAAAGAGTTACTATTATATATCCTGCTATTTTTTAAAAATTTTCCCCTTAATTAAAACAAACATAAGAAATAACTAAATATTTTTTTAAAGAATAAGGGAGAGATTGAGATAAAACAGGACATAACAATACAACAATACAGGTCAAAGCATGACTGTTTTAGCAACCAAGTGCTTCACCATCAAATAACCCGACTTAATGGTAGTTACCATAGTGTCTGTCTTTTTCCTTGAAATATTTGAATAAAACTTCATATACTATAGCTTCAAATATTTCCATATCAAGAAGCCCAGAATATAGCCTTTAAAATTAATAAGTGAAAACCTTATAAGGCTTCAAGGCCACATAATGGGGAATCATGATTACAACGTATTTTTATATATTTGAATCATTACACATTAGGGAAACTATTCAGTATTCACACATGCAAGATTGGTTTATTCCACTTATGAGTATGGTCTCAAGCTGCGCCCCTTTATTGATAAATATCCCAATGTGATCCTTCTTTACAGCTGAATAATACTCCATTGTATAGAAATACCACAACTTTTTTATCCATTCCTCAGTTGATGGACACTTGGGTTGTTTCCAAGATCTGGCAATTACCAATTGTGCTGCTATAAACATAGGTGCGCATATATCACTGTGGTATGATGCTTTCAATTATTCTGGGAATATGCCTAGAAGTGGAATAGCTGTAATAAATGGGACTTACAATCCCAGCTTTTTGAGAAATCTCCAGACTGACCTCCACAAATGCTGCACCAGTCTACACTCCCACCAAAAGTGTACGAGACTTCCTTTTTCCCCACAGCCTCTCCAGCATTTGTTGTTGTTGGTTTTCTTGATCCTGGCCATTCTTTCAGGAGTGAGATAGTATCTCAGTGTGGTTTTAATTTGCATTTCTCTAATGACCAATGATGATGAACATTTTTTCGTGTATTTATTTGCCATTTGCATTTCTTCATCTGAGAATTGTGTATTCATCTCAGATGCCAATTTTTGGATTGGAACTTTGAATTTTGGGGGTCTGAGTTTTTTTTAATTCTTTATATGTTTTAGACAAGAGTCCCTTGTCTGAGAGAGAGTTCACTAAAATCTTTTCCAAGTTTGTGGGTTTTCTTTTCACTGTGCTGGAGATTTCCTTTGACATGCAGAAACTTTTTAATAAGAAGTGGTCCCAGTTATTCATTCTGGGAAGTATTTCCTGTGCGGTTTGAGTCCTGTTCATGAATTCTCTACCTACTCCTATGTCTCCAAGGTTTCTACCCAATTTGTCTTCCAATAGATTTAGTGTTTCTCTTTTAATATTCAGATTGTTGACCCATTTAGATTTTAATTTAGTACATGGTGATTGACATGGTTCTAGCTTTAGTTTTCGGCAAATGGAGAGCCAGTTTTTCCAGCAACATTTATTAAAGAGACTGTCCTTCCAGTGAACTTGCTTGGCACCTTTATCAAAGATAAGGTAGTTGAGTGTCTTTGTAGTTGTGGTTGTATCTTCTAATCTATTCCATTGATCTTTGGCTCTGTTTTGATTCCAAAACCATGTTGATTTTACTACTGTTGCTTTGTAGTATAACTTCAAGTCAGGGATTGTGATGCCTCCTGCTTTGTCTTTGCTGCTTAGAATTGCCTTTGCTATTCTAGGTCTCTTCTGGTTCCACATGAAATTTAGGAGTGATTTCTCTAGATCTATAAGGTATGTTGACGGTATTTTTATTGGGATTGCATAGAATCAGTATAACAGTTTTGGGAGAATGGCCGTTTTCACAATGTTTGTTCTTCCTATCCATGAGCAAGGGATGTCTTTCAATTTTCTGTGATCATCTTCAATTACTTTTTTCAGTGTATTATAATTTTCACT